AACACATCGCACAAAATGTTTTCGAAAATTATTTTTTCAAGTATTACGTCCGAATTTATATTCTGATTTTTAATTATTACTAATAAAATAATAATTGCTTTGTGTACGTAGCAGCCCCGGTTAGAAGATGTATCTACTATTTTTAGGTGCGTGACACGGGTTGAATCTGGATTAATCGAGATAAAACCTCGAATACTGAGTGAAAAACTAAAAATAAAAAAATAAAGTAATAATTGCTGGCCTTTTAATGATTGATGGAAATTTAAAATATGGCCTGGCACAGTAAATGATACAATAATTGCTAAAAGAGGGCAAGATATTGTATGGATAATTTAATTTTAAAATATTTATTTATAATTTTGTCAACAATTTGAGTTATATTCAGTTCGTAATCTTTTTTTTTTTTATTACTAATTTCAAGGTGTGTGCATGTTATTAAGTACCCTACCTAAGTACCTAACCGTCCCAACCAAAAAGAAGGAAAGAGAAAAAATACGAGAAAAAGTTGTTGCTAATTTAAAGGTGCGTGACCTCCATTTTACTTAAGAGAACAGAAGATCCTTTTTTTAAATGGCGGGATCTAAGATTTTAACCAAAATTATTTAAAATCTTCCTGAGTTTGAAGTTCTTAAATTTTAGTACATGTTTTATATAATAATAATAATAATAATAATAATAATAATAATGAGTTATATAGAAAAATAATTTTTTTATATGTTTTTTCATTTGACTCAAAATTTAAATTTAAAATTTTTATTTAAAAATTTCAAACACCTAATTATTAAAGAGTAATGATATAGGCACCGATACTTACAGAACGAATTTAGAGAACAACTTACGTAGCTTGCCACGCACACAGAGCCCAACCCCACTGACTGATTTGGGTTTTTATTAAAAAGGATAAAATTTTATAGTGACGTAAGTCACCTCTTAAATTCGTCCTGCAAGTATCGGTGCTTGTATCATTACTCATTATTAAATCATTCATTAAGAATTAAATTTAGTCACTGATGTTGTTATAGAAACTAAGGAAAAAAGTAAGATATAGTAATTAATTGTTTATAATTATTTGCTCTGCAAGTTAATCAACTCCACTGCAATGGGAAATCATATATAATATTCATGTGATAGCTGAAGTTGTTGTGTCTGTAGCAAAGGATCTTTTGTATTACCAAAAAAATTTGATCGATACACAACCAAATGGCTGAAAACTTGAGACCTGGGACATCTGGTAAAAAAAAAAGAAAGAAAAACTTGAGATCAAGATCTTTAGAATGAAACAAAATGACAAATTAATATATTATTGATTTTCTCCATCATAGCCAGGATACTAATGGGCTGTTTTGTTTTGTGTAGTGTTATAGAAATAATTTTTTTTATCATTTTTTAATATAATTTTTATATATTATTAAATAAATTGATGTATTTAATATTAAAATTTATATAAATTAAAAAAATTAATTATATAATAACACTTTATGTATAAACTTAAAATTTTATATAATATTGTAATTATAGTATTTTCATTATAAATATATATGATATTAACATTTTCAACTGTTTTCTGAAATGAGTATAATTTATGAAATACTTACCATTAAGTGGGTGGGAGATCTCCTGTTCAACACAGGTCAACACGGGTGCATCCACCTGAGGATGAGATTCCATAGGTGCTATAGCTTGCCACGAAAGTGTTGGGTCCCTACGCGGCTACGCCTGTGCCTTTATTTTTTTGTTAAATATCCATTTTGATCTTTCTACTTTGATAAATTTTTTTTTTTTATTTTTTCACTTAAAAAAATCTTTTTGTGTCCCTAAAATTTGAAATCTGACTCATTTTTAATACTTCTGTTAAGTTTTGCACATGTGACATGTTAAATAATAAAATTTCAAAGTAAAATAACCAAAATAACCAAAATAAACTAAAAATAGGCTAAAAATAACT